TTGGGCCAAACTTCCCACACAGAACCTCCACGACCAACAGAAAATACTGTGTTTTCTGATGGTCTTTGGCGACCCCTCTGAAACCCCGTCGCGACGCCTCCAGGGGTCCCAACCCCCAGGTTGAGAAACACTGAACTAGATGATCTCAGAGGGTCCTTCTGAGTCAAGGGTCCTCTGTCCTTTGGAGTTCAGCAATGGACCCCAATAATCTAGAGAAATAAAGGGGGTCTTTCTGCTTCATGATTTTAAAGGAGGTTTTCCATTGAGAATTGGGACCAGACTAGATGACCTCAAGTGATCTCTTCCAAGTCTGGGGTTCTCTGACCTTTGAGAATTATTATTATTATTATATTATAATAATATAATTGTATTATCCTAATAATATAAAATATATTTGCAGTCAGATTTATATTATTATTATTATTATTATTATTATTATTATCTTAATAATAAATATAATAAAAGATATAGTATGAAATAATATGACATAATAATATAATATTACCAATATATAATATATTTGCAGTTCAAGCAGTGGACCTGAATTGTTTACAGGGATTATTGGAGTTCGAATGATGTTAATAAAGTTCCTCGACTGAAAATTGGAGCCACATTACATGACCTCATGTGACCCCCCCCCCCCATCCAAGTTTAGGATTTTCCACTCTTTGAAGCCCAGTAGCCTATAGACATAATGGGTCTCCCGCCTTAAATTGAGCATTAGAATCAGACTAGATGACCTCAGGGGAAACCCTTCCAAGTCTCAGGATTCTATGAGTCTAATCCCTTTTTTGGTCTCTTGTTTTTAATACAGAACAATATCCTCATGGATTATGGGCTCCGAAGAATCACCTTTTTGATCATGCAGCAAGTAGGTGTAAATACTATGAACGTATTGATACCTATCAATTATTAGTTTTAAATAGTAAGAAGATTTTTGATTTTGATTTTGATAAAAACAAAGTACCTAGTTTATATATTTTTCCCTCACCTTTTAATTTATATTCTCTGTTACAGAGGGAGTTTCCCAAGTTTTTCACCTTCCGGGCCCGAGACAAGGTACCCTGTATTATTACTGTTATTATTGTTGTTATTGATATTATTTGTATATTATTATTTAAATTATTTTATTAATCTTATTTTTATCCATTATTATTGGTATCTTTATTATATATCACATATATTGTTATTATATTTATATTATAGCGTTTGGGGAGTAGTACAGCTACAGTAGTACAGCTACAGTGAATACATGAATCAGCTTGGACTATGGTTGTGGGATTTGGTGCTATATTTTTAACTGTTATTTAATTGTATTTATATACTTTATTTTCTGATTTTAATGTTTAATGTGTTGTGTATTTGTTTGCTTTTAAGTTCAATGTGGTGTTGAATTATTGCTAAACTGGAAGCCACTCTGAGTTCCCTCTGGGGTGAGGTAGAGGGGGGTAAAAATGCAGTAAATAAAAAAATAATAAATATATTCAACATTATATTATTATTATTATTATTATTATTATTATTATTATTATTATTATCATGTTGTCGAAGGCTTTCATGGCCGGAATCACTGGGTTGTTGTAGGTTTTTTCGGGCTATATGGCCATGTTCTAGAGTTTTGAAAGTCCTTTTGGCTGCGAGAAATTGTGAGATGGTATCTGTGTCTCTGCAGTGTAGAAGGAAAGTCAGGGAGCACAGTAGATGTGCTTTCCTGGTCCTTAGTTTTTCCAATTTTCATGTGTCTTGGAACAGTTTTTCCCCGTAGAGATGTTCAATGTATTGTCGAAGGCTTTCATGGCCGGAATCAAATCTTCTAGAGCATGGCCTTATATCCCGAAAAAACCTACAACAACCCTATTATTATTATTCATAATAATAATAATATTAATATTATTGTTGTTATTATTATTATTATTATTATTTAATATTACTTTCATTTAATATATGTGTTTAACGATCTTATGTTTTATCTGTGTATTTTAATCTTAATCCTTGAAGGGGAGGAGAAAGAGGAGAATGTATTATTATTATAACATTGTGTATAATTATTACTATTATAACATTTATGTTATATTAAAATTTAGAGTTATATAATAATAGTATGAAATCGTCACCCTTATTCTAATATTATAATATTATTAATAATGATAACAATACAAAATTGATAAGATATAGAAATAATAATAATATAATAATAATAATATAATGATAATAATATAATAACAAAATAATAGTAATATTTATAATATGACAATAATAAATATAATATAATAATAAAATAATAATATAATGCAATACAATATGATGATGATATAATGATAACCATCATAATACTAATATCTCCTTGGTCTGCAGTTTGGTGAGGACCGCATCTACCGGCACCTGGAGCCTGCCTTGGCTTTCCAGCTGGAGCTGAGCCGCATGCGCCACTTCCACCTGCAGGCCTTGCCTTGCGCCAACCACAAGATGCATCTCTATCTGGGGACCGCCAGGGTCAGGGCCCGCCCTGAGAGCACCGACCAGCGCCTCTTTGTCCGTGCCATCGTCCGACACTCAGATCTCATCACCAAGGTAATCAACTGGCCGCAGGATAAAACCACAAGGCTAATATGGTGTTACAGTAAAAAAGCCAATGCGATGATGATGATAATCTTGGCTTTATCATTACTCTGCTCAAGGCCAGTTAGAAAGAAGAAGAAACCAACAGTGTGATGTGGGGGCCAAAAAGCCCAGTGCTATGCTTATATTATTCTGATTATATTGCTTTTTACCTTAAGAGTGGTAGTATATTAATGTAATACAGTGATAATAATATAAAAATAGTAATAATGTCAACAATGCAATCCTGCAATGAAAAATGCCAATGCTATTATTATTTTAAATTGTTATGATTATTATATTATATTATATTATATTATATTATATTATATTATATTATATTATATTTCAAGACTGGTAGGAAATAATAGTAAGAACAATGATAAATTGATAAATTTATATAATCTATATAAATAAAAATGTAATGTTCATTTGTGGGATTAACTGAACTCAAAAACCACTGGATGAATTGACAACAAATTTGGACACAAGACATCTAACAACCCAATGTATGTCCTTCGCTCAAAAAAATTGATTT